GAGCGAGCGGCTGGGGCTAAACCACCACACCCCCAAACTGCAGTCTTCTACTGTCGTAATCAAGGAGTAAAGAAAAAGCATCCTATTAGCTGCTCCTCTGTCCCAAGCACTGCTGGCATCCAGACACCACAAAGCTGATGACCCTGTGACATAAGATAGCGAGCTATGTGACAGCGAGTCTTAGGCCACACTTCTGCCTCGCAGGCCAGCAGCTTTTCCATACCCTGAGTGTTGGCCAGTGACAAGAAGAGATCTCCCACTCTTAATTCAGTACACAGAGCAAGGCTTCCCAGCACCCAGTCTGTAATACTCCCACACTTTGCCACTTCACCACTGAACTTACTTACATGCTGTAAAGCTACAGCTGACAATTTGCATGTTCACAGCCCACTACAATGTGAAACAGTTTCCGTTAAGTCATTTTGCAGTGAAATGGAGTCAGAATTATTCTGCACAGCAAAAAATATTACCTAGTTGCATGCAGAAAGAAACCCATGCAACTTGCCAAGAAAATCCTTACTGGCCTTTCAGATGCAGGAAGGATAAGATTAAAATTTGTGTAGTACCAGAGTCTTCATCTGGTGTTCCCCATGCCTCTCCTTGCCTTGAGCAGAGCTAGTGGGACCAGCCCACCCCGGAGCTAGCCTGGAGGTACAGCTTTTATCTCTTCCCACCCTGATTATGAAGTTTTTTCAGCTCTGCTGCTCAGAGTGCCTTTCCTGTGGCCAGTGGGGAGTAGATTGGTGCCGCTGGTGTATCTGTGGTGTTTCAGTGCCTGGTCCCTGTGTCTTGGGTGAGTTCAGTAAGTCACGTTGGGTGTCTGCTCGGTCTCAGCCCTCTGAGCTCTGCTCCCTCCCTGCGTGCTCCAGGTGCTGTACAGCACTGCAGCAGCGCAGTGCCGGCTCCAGCAGTGGCAGGAGGCCAGAGCCACCCTGGATAAGGCCGTTGTGTGGAGACCCGAAGGAAGAACAGCAATCCTGGACATGGCCCTTGAGCGGGTGCAGGTAAGAGCATCTCTGTGAGTTCCTGGGTACGTCTGTTGGGCTCAAGTTAAGAAACACAAGATAAGAATGTACTAATTGTTGTGTGTTTGGGTTTTCCTGTCTACCCGCCTGCTTGGTCACCTGGTAATGGAGTCTAAGCATGTGCTATTTGCATGTGATGCTCTACCAAACTAGTGCTTCAGCTAATCCAATAATTCCATCGCCCCCAGGCGCTTCATAGCAGAGAAACACCACAGCTGAAAATTACGGGATAACCTCTTCAGGTTGGGGAGGTTGCCTTCTAGTCCCTGCTGTCCAGGAGCTTAGTTCTATTCGTACTCATACAGTGAAACAAGTTGCCTTATGCAGTGTTTATGTGCAGAAACCCTACAAGTGCAGATTTGGAGAGTCTCGCTTTTCATGACACTGGCTGACTTTTTAAAATCTCTTTGGCCTCAGTGACAATTGATGACAGCTTGGATATTAATGACAGGCACCTTTAGAGCTTAAGGAGAGTGTAAAAGTGTTTCCAGAGTTGGTTCTAAACAGCAGTTTCCTTTTAGACTCTTATGATCAGGAATGACTTGCAGATCTCTGATTTACTCTTCCTGGAGGGTTCATTACTTTGCTCACTCCATACTTCCTTATTTGTATCCTTTCTAAGAGATGATCACTTCTTTTAAATCTGATCATCTCTTCTAGCATCACCTTTGTGCTTTACATTAGTGTATTATTTGTATTTACTATTCACATGCTACTCAGTGGTTGAACAGAGGAGAAAAAAATGACATTTGAAGTCAAATAGAAAAACTGCTTAGTAGATTTGTTTACTAAACCTTACTCCACTGCCCTCTCTTCCCACCCATCCCATGCCAACAGAGTTAGTCTTCCACTCAGCACTGGGTAGTGGCTACTGAGCTCTTAGTTTACATGTGCTTGTTAAACCTGAGTGATCTTTCTCAAGTTCACAGGCATAATTTTTGCCCCAAAGTCTTCCTGGAGCTGATCTTGCACCCATAGGGAAGCTAAATTTGCTTTTCACTGCTGTTATGTTTCCTTTAATATTAACTGATGGCTTTTCCCTTATCTGCTTTCCTTGCCCTAGAACCGTCTGTTTTTAGAGCCCATGCAGGTTCCTCTTGGGGAATTTTTCAGACCACGAAAGAAGGAAGTTGAACAGCTGGATTCAAAAGATTTCCTGGGTAAACCCAAGGTAATCATTAAGATTAACAGCAAGCGAATTAAAATCCCACCTTCTGACATCTCCAGCGAGCATTACTGTTGGCCGCTCCACTGACCACTGCACTGGTGGAGACCCACCAGAGCAGGATTGTCAAACCATCTGGGACACAGAAGCTGGAATTTGTTAGAATTGCCACCTCTTCTACCAAAAATGCACTTTGGTGCTAAAAAACCTTCCCAAGCTTGGTCACTTTAAACTCTGAAAAAGCTGAGCAGGTACTTAGGGAACCCTGTGGTTGGCCTTTTGCTGACAATGACATTTTCAAGAGGAGCGTGTTCTTCCAGCATGCTCCTACTCACGACTGCATTCCCAATGGGACAGGCAGGCACTTGGGAGACAAACACATTGTCACAAGTCAGCAGAGAATTTCTCTGATCCCTTCTGCGACCAATGCAGTCAGCAGAAGTGCCACAGGCCAGAGAGCTCCAACAGGAATAAAGGAAAGGGAAAGTAATTAATTCACATACTTCTAAAGAAACCTTGGAAAGACTGAAAAAAACCCAGGGACACAAACGCTTGAAGCTGTTTTGGGAATCCAGCTCTGCTTTTTCCCCTATGTGCATGGCTCTACTTTGTGCCTGACCTCAGGATGTCAGAAGGAAATGGGTCTGAGTAGATAACCTTGTGTGAAGGGTGAGAGTCTCTTCATCCAGCCTGGACTCAGTTATTATTTTGTCCTCCAACAGGTGATCTCGTCCATCATTCCCAATGACGAGTACATTGGCTTCGAGCCTCTCAGGCCTCAGGTGAGCAGAACATAGCTGTGACAGAAGGAATGGAGCTGTCACCAAGCTCCAGGTAGGGCCTCAGATCCTAACACCATCAGGGTAAGAACACACTGTTAAAAAAAAACAGTGCAATCTCAGCCTGGATCCATGGGGCCGTTCAAAGCCAGGTGGTGGGCTTCAGCATTGGCTGAATGACTCAGTGATGTGAGTCTCCAGCCCTTTGAAGATGCATTTTTGTCTTTTTGCCATGTCAAAACAGCAGTGGAGACTTTGCTATGCTCAACACATGTTTGCCCAGCACTTTAGTAAATTTGTCAGCATAAGCTGCTGCCTTGCACTGTAGTACGAGTTTCTTAGAACCAAGGGTAGGGGAAAAGGTTTTATTACTTGCCACCTGATGGGATAAAGAAGGAGGGGAGAAATAGAAGGTACTTCCTGGTAAGGTGCGGAGCAGCAGACTTCTAACTGGGTGCTGTGATGTGATAAACATGGTCAAAAGTAAATACCACAGTGTAGTGTTCAGAGGGACAGTAAATAAGGTGGCACTGCTGCTGTATGAGGTACTGTTATAAATAGAGGCTGTTGTTCCTCCCACAGAAACAGGGCTTTTATGAACCCAGTGCTGATGCTCTGCGGTAAGTGTTCGGTTCCACCCTGGTCTAACTCTTCTCTCACTATTTCTGTTCACAAGGTCATGTTTTGTTCTCTGATGTCTTTGTCTGAAGATTCTGGGATCCACACCCACTTCTCATGAAGGGTGGAGTGAATGACAAACATGCAAAGGCTTGTGTGGCTGCAAAAGACACTGCAGTTCAGTAGCACCTCTCATGCCAGAATCTCAGGGCACTTTGCAGGAGTTGATTCAAGAGTCTTGGGAGACAAGCATGGATCATGCCATGGCTGGGGAATGGAAGCAGAGAGAAGTAGGACCTGCCCAGGTCCGTGACAGAGGATCCTCAGCTGCCCCATCCTAGTGCTTATGACAAAGCTTCTAAGAAATCACTCCTGGCCTTGCTGTGCTGAACGAAAAATCAGTCCAGGTTCAAAAAACATGAAAAGTCATTTGGTTTGGTGATATTGTACCAACAGTAATTCAGGGATGAGTTCAATAGTTGTTTTGAACTTGAGGATGCACAGTGAAAATGGGGAAGCTGCATTTGGGAAATCTGAGTATATTCCAAACTCCTCTTGTTCCCAGTTGGACCAAAGACTAGCAATGGAAATGATAATTTCTCAACACCTGAAACTTTTGGCAAGTGCCATTTTGGATGGGTGCAGTGTTCTGGATCAAAGCCATCCCACAGCAGAACTCCATGGTTAGTAAAGGAGCTCTCATTCCCATTCTTTCTTTCCAGAGACAGTGAATCAGGCTACTATCGAGTTTTGTCCCACTATTACCCTAAGGACTCAGAGAATTTGGCAGTGAAAGCTGGCAGTTTGGTCTTTGTGCTGACAAGAGGAGCAGATGGCTGGGCTACAGCCATACACGATGGCCAGGTAAGGAACCCGGGTGGGCTTTCCAGCCGATCCCCACCGGCAGAGACCACAGCCCTGCTTGTGAACAGGAGCTCGCTGCCACCCGCTGGGCACATTCCTTGGGGACCCACCGGTAGCACTGCAGAGCAGAGGATGAGTTCAGGAGCTCATTTCCACACACCGGTTGCTAACCATAGATTTCTCTGACACTTGGCTCCCACCAGCTTCTGCCATTCCTCTCTGTAGCTCCACATGGGCATCTTTTTGGGCACTTGTGCTCTCCACTGTATGGGATCTTATTGTGGAATTGTGTAGGATAACAGACCTCACCAAGGACCAGCATTTAGAGCAGTGTTTGTCACCTGAGAGCTCTAACGGAGCCGAGGAGAGAGGTCGGTCCTTCCCTGGTTTGTAGTGCCTCTGTTCCGTTAACTTCGCGAAGGTTTGGGAGGGTTTCAGCTGTGCAGGCAGGTTTTATAAATGACTCTAGAGAAGACCTAAGAAATTAATGCCTAGCAAATCTGACATCATTCTGCAGACTGGGGAACTATAGTATAAACAGATTGAATAGAAACAGATAAATATGACAACATGGAAAATCTTTTCTTGACAGAAGCCATTTCTCACGTCTACTTAAGTTCTTTGAAAGACCCAGTGCATACCTGGATTAGGTTGAGCCAGTGAAAGTATTATCTGCCTATAGTCCCAAAAAAGTCAAAATATTCTTCACAAGACCACTAAAACAGGGAGCTGTTTGAGCAAGAGGGGTAGTGCTCTGAGGGCTGATAACAGGTCAAAATATAGAAATAAAGGGTGGGCATAAATGAACAGGTTTTTCTTTTTCTTTTTTTTTTAACGAAAGGACATCTCCACAGAGAATCTGCTGTGACCTCAGCACTTAGCATATTCCTAAGTGATATAGTAATAGGGATAGTGATATAGTGCTTCTTAAGGTGACCATGCTCCATGGCAGACAGTCAAACCATTCTGCGTAGACTGAAGCATCTGGAGCTAACAATGAACAGTTACAGAAGTACTTGAATGTGCTGGTTGACTGCTCAGTGAAGTGTCAGATGAAATTCAAAGTCAAAAAAAGTAAAATAATAGACACTGGGAGGAAAAAAAAAGCATGCTTACTCACAATGATCAGCTGAAATTAGCTCTATAGCCGTGATTGTCAGAAGACACAGAAATGCTGTTGGGCTGGTATCCCTCCCCATCCTTGCTGCTCTCTGCCTAAGCATCTGTTTTAGGGGCACTGTTCTGAGCTTGGTGGGTGTTTGGTCTGTTACATCACAGCCACTCAGCACCGCTGCTTTCAGCCGAAAAAGATGCAAAGGGACCCTTGGATTTTGTTCAGCAATTTCTGAGCACAAACCACGTGGGCTACCGTACCCGATGCTGGGCCCTTCTGTGGGCGAATCCGTGTTGCAGTAGGGTGAGCAGGCAGCGGTGCTTTGCGAAGGCAGAGCAGTGCGGAGGGGGGTGACAGAATTGGGGCTGGGGGGGGCTGGGGCTGCATCTGCCACAGCAGCAACTCCTGTCTCACCCTGCTCTGCTTTGTGTCCTGCAGAAGCTGCACTTACCGAGCTCTCTCCTGGAGCCTGCCTCAAAGATGGATAAATGGGTGAGCTGATGACTTTGTAACCAGGGGTGAGGAAGGGACCAAGAGATCTGAGACATTTATTAATCAGATTATCACAGGTTAGGACAACTGTGTAAGGGAAACATGGAGTGTGAAACACTGAGACACCTTGACTGAAGACTGCTCTTGAACAGTCTCTGGAACACAGTGATGAGTTTGAGGGCTTGAGGCATGTGCTTGTCCAGCCTGCTCCCATGATGTCTACAGCACGGAAATGGGTGAGGAGTGCTCTCATGTTCTAGTTCACCAGCAGAGTGAGAGCACGTTAATCTCCTGCAGTGGGACAGTAATATCTTAAACAGGCACTGCTTTTTGCCTTGAGACCATGTGCCTAAGTCCTAAACCCTCACTTTTGACTTAGGAAAACTTCCTTCAACTCCCATCTCTGCCGCAGGCACGTGCGCACATGATCCCAATCTTTTTCCATCTGCACCCTGTGCAGCAAGGTGTGACTCAGACCCCTATTTCCTGTGAGAGATTTTTGAAGCAAATGGTTGTTCTGATGTTGCTCTGATTTTTTTTTCCTCCAAATGAACCCCTGACCATAGCACACACTTGGGCATTTGCCCCATGGGTATCGCACTGGAACCATCCCAGGTTTGGCTGGGTGAGCCGGCAGCTGGTGGGGAGAGCCCTCAGTGCAGCATGAGCAGCATCCCTCTGCTCCAGCACCAATCCAGGGAGGTGAAGGGAGTGTCCCACCAAACCTCTCATCACCCCTGCTACCCAAGAGAGCTGCAGAGACCATCACCTGAGTGCTCCGCCTCATCCAGCCAGTTAACAAACTGGTCTTCCTGGGGCTGTCTCTGGGGCTACACCCAGAAATCGGGTGCACAGTCTGTCATGCACACCAGCCTTGCCCCATCTCTGGTGTCTTCTCAGTCCTTTCTGATGTTGTTCTGTTGCAGAAGATCAGTGATGGGATCCCCCTCCCTCCTGCCCAGGTGCCTCCCAGCCGACTCCATATGAAGCAGAAGCCAGGTAGCCCCCGGACCAGGGACCTTGGTGGATGTTAGCACCCCTGCTTTAGGAGTGCGTGGAGATGCTGGTTGTCTACTGCAGCCGTGGCTGCGTGTGTGCTAGTGGGTTGCGGAAGACCTGTGGAGGCCTCTGCTGACTACAGGCACCATTCCTCTGCTCTTGTTTTGTTCTGCAGAATCTCCTGGGGGAGAAAATGCCTCTGCAAATGATGCTGGTGCCCAAACAGACTTCAAGGTAAGGTGTTTCACAAGCCGAAGCTGCTACAGCCTCAAGAGATCAAGGCTGTGCAAAATGCAAGGTTCCTGGCCAGATCCTCTAAAATTCTTGATCTGCCCTAAAATCACTGGAAAAACTCTGCCCATTTTCCCATTCCAAAGAGAGGGTCCCATGTGGTCTGTCCTCCACCACTCCCAAGTTTGTGACCATATCGTTTTGTGAGGCAGCCCAGGGTTGAGGCTTACCAGGGCAGTGCCCTTTTGCCACCCTCCAAGGAGCCAAGAGCCCCAGACACAGCAGTGTTCTCAGACATGCACTTTACAGCCCATTTAGCAAGAGAGAGCTGTCTTTGAACTACCTGCTGTTCCTTTCCCCCTCCTCCTCTGTGGCATTTTCTGTCCCTGTCAGTCTGGGTGCCACAATTCATTCATATTTGCATTCTTCTGGGATGATGTCCTCTGATCACCTCCGTTACCAACTACTGTGTGTGATGGAGCTGGAGTCGCTCCTCTGTCTGCTTGGGGACAGCACATCTCTGGCAGTGCCAGCTGCAAACCAGCTCTGCTCCCTTTGTTTTTGCCACCCTTCTTTGTAGGGCTTTTGGAGTAATTTTTTGGCAGCCGTACACCAGACAGAAGGCAGCAGAACACAGGGACTTGGCTGCACCTCTCCAGCTGGCTGGAGGAATTGGGAGCCCTGCTCATACTGTTTTGGGGTTGGCAGGTACCTGTGTGACTGGACCCAGAAACAGGCTTCCTGGGTCATGGGAGGAGCATGTGATCCCAGGCTTTGAAATTTCCCCCTCTGAAATTCAGATCTGCATTTTGATGCTGCACTAGCGTATGTGGTACCACTAAGACGAGGAGTTGTGTCTGTGTCAGCTCTCTTGATCATAGAATCACAGACTGGGTTGGAAGGGACCTCACAGCCCATCCA